GGGGGCCGAGCAGTGAGGATCACTTGGTAGCCCAGGAGTTCAAGACCAAGCCTGGCAACATGTGAGACCTCCATCTGGTACAAAAAATAAATTACGTCAGTTGGGTGATGGCACGATGCATGGTGGTGTAGTCCCAGGCTCCAAGGGCCTGTGACTTGGGAGGCTGAGGTAGGAGATCACTTGGGAGCTGGGATGGTGGAGGGCTGCCAGTGGAGCAGTCGATCACGCCACTGGACTCCACCTGGCGACAGAGTGAGAGCCGCATGTCTCATAGAAAAAAAAAAAAAAAGCAAGTGGGATATAGGTGGGATGAGCTTGTAAGGATCCAGCACCCTGTAACCACCACCTGCACCAAGGCAGGGAGGACCATTCCTTCACAGCCCTTTGGCAGTCAATCCCCCATCTCCAGAAGCAACCATCGGTTCTGATTTCTTCCCCGGAAGGGGGGAAGTTTTGTTTGCGGTGAGAGAGCTCGCTCTGGATCCCCAGGCTTGTAATCAGTGGCATGATCACGCTCACTGGCAGCGCCATCAACCTCCTCAGCTCAAGGGCAATCCTCCCACTCAGCCATCCCAAAGTCCGGATGCAGGGGTGGAGTCATCGCACCAGGGATGTTGTTGTTATTGTTAAATTTAAAAAACTGTTAGCAGCCTGGGCAAGTGGCTCATGACTTGATAATCCTGGGCACTTTGGGAGGCCTCGAGTGATCCCTTGGAGCTCAGCAGTTTCAAGACCAGCCCTGGCATATGAGCTAGTGAGACCCTGTCTCTAACAACAACAACAAAAAAAGCCAGGCATGGTAGCTGGCACCTGTAATCCCAGGTACTGGGGAGGCTGAGGTAGGAGGATGGCTTGACCCTGGGAGGTGGAGGTTGCAGTGAGCTGAGATCAGGCCATTGCACTCTAGCCTGGCCGACAGAGCCAGACCTTGTCTCAAAACAAAAACAAAAACAAAAAAACCTGTAAATTGTGGTAATACACATAACAAAATTGACCATCGCACCCATTTTTTGTTTCTTTGCTTGTTTGTTTTTGAAACAGAGTCTCACTCTGTCGCCCAGGCTGGAGTGCAGTGGCGCGATCTCGGCTCACTGCACGCTCTGCCTTCTGGGTTCACGCCATTCTCCTGCCTCAGCCTCCCGGTAGCTGGCACTACAGGCGCCCGCCACCGCGCCCAGCTAATTTTTTTGTATTTTTTAGTAGAGATGGGGTTTCACTGTGTTAGCCAGGATGGTCTCGATCTCCTGACTTTGTGATCCGCCCGCCTCGGCCTCTCAAAGTGCTGGGATTACAGGCGTGAGCCACTGCGCCCCGCCCGCATCCATTTTTAAGTGTACCGTTCAGTGCTAAGTACATCCACAGTGCTGTGCGGCCACTCGTCTCGCGGAACTGAAACTGAATCCTGCCCATCTGTTCATTTTCAGGTTCTGGAGTTTCCTGTGAACAGAACCCAGGTGTTTCTGGAAGTCCAGCTGCTTTCGCTCGGAATCTTGTCTTTGGAGTTCACCCACGCTGTTGCAGAGAGCAGCAGCCTCTTCCTTTTTATTGCTGGAATGCACTACAGGTTGTCTATCTGTTCTGTAGTTTTGATCTATTACGAATAAAGCTGCTATAATAACTAAAACATGTATTAAAACATCCACGGGCAAGTCTTTATGCGGATGTGTGTTCATTTATCTTGGGCAAACACCTAGGAGTAGGCGGGGCACGGTGGCTCACGCCTGTAATCCCAGCACTTTGGGAGGCTGAGGCAGGCAGATCACTTGGGGTCAGGAGTTCAAGACCAGCCTGGCCAACATGGTGAAACCCTGTCTTTAGTAAAAATACAAATAGTAGCCGGGCATGGTGACGTGCATGGGAAGCTGAGGTGGGAGAATTGCTTGAACCCGGGAGGCGGAGGTTGTGGTGAGCCGAGCCAGCCACACAGCACTTCAGCCTGGGTGACAGAATGAGACTCCGTCTCAAACAAAAAAACACCTAGGAATAGAACAGCAGGGTTGTAGGCTGGGGCCTGTGTTTATGGAAACGGTCAGACTGTTTTCTCCGTGGCCATCCACTTTTCCTTCATAGCAAAGCAGGATCTGAGTCCGCAGCCCCCTCTGAGAGGTACCTTCCTAGAATTCCCTTGCCCCCTTCCGAAAGGCAGAGGACTTGGGGACTGGTACACAGTGGGGTTGGGGATGAGACTCTTCTCTTTTTTTTTTTGAGACAGGGTCTCACTCTGTCACCCAGGCTGGAGTAGAGTGGCACAATCACAGCTCAGCACAAGCTTGACCTCCCAGGTCCAGCCTCCCAGGTAGCTGGGACTACAGGTGTGTGCCACCACGCCTGGCTAATTTTTGTATTTTTTGTAGAGACAGGATCTCTCTATGTTGCCCCGGCTGGTCTCAAACTCCTGGGCTCAAGCAATCAGCCTGCCTCGGCTGCCCAAAGTGCTAGGATTACAGGT